CCAGATCCAGCCCATATTTAATTGGATAGATCCAAGCCCAGCCCATGACCACATGGTACAATCCATGGATCCAAATAGCACAAACTGTAAACAGCTTAGTTTTAAATTAAGTTTGGATTCGTAATTTGACATCATATGATCAGGAAAACGATGACATATATAATTTTGGCCAATCAGATTAACTATGGACTATCCATGGGGTTTTGGATCTGAACTCAATTATCCATGGTCAAAAATTTTGGGCCCATATTGGACCAGTCCATGGATGCTCCATGGATAGTCCAGCCCATGCGGAACCCTAACTGTGCAGATCCACATAAATTTGAAATGTAATTTGTTTTAAAGACAAAATGTAATATGAATAATTTAAACAGTTAAAAAAATTTTTGATTTTTAAATTTTGAATTTTTTTAAAGCAAGCGTTATCATGCTTTTCTATAAATATATATGTTTTTTTTTAAGGAAAAACGGAAATCATCTAATTTGATAGGCTAAACTAATTTAAAAAAAAACACATGTAGAAGTTTTAAAATTTACTTTTTTCAATCAAAGTTTCATTTTCAAAAAACTTTTCATTATTAGGATCCCACATTCTTTCTTCAACGTATTTCACCAATTCATGCCATTTTTCACCACTTTTAGATAGAAGTTTAGGCAAATTTTGCTTAACCAATGAAATGATCTCTGGATTACGAGCAAGACCTTCATCCACAGATGTTACGATTACAGCTGCAGCTACTTCAGCTGATACGCGTCGAATTCGTTGAACTGCAGGGTAAAGGAAGTTTTGATCGACTTCTTCAGTAGTAAGTGACTCAGCGAGTGCAGAAGCAGAAGCGTATATTTGGCGGTCAGTAATTCGATCAGGACGGGCAAGAATTGCACCTAAACCTAGACCAGGGCTAGTTTGTTTAAAGTAAAAGATTAAAGATAAAATTGATTACACGAAATAAGAAAATAATAAATAAATAAATAAATAAATAAATCAAGTTATACATACAAAATGTACATATTATTTCCTTGTCCTGGGTACCGTATTTTTCCAGTATCAGGTTCAATGAATGGAGGGAAACCAGTACCCGAAGCAAATATGACACGATTACCGGTATTTCTCATCGCCTTTACAAAAAAAAAAATAATAATAATAGATAAGAATAAATAATATATTAAAGAAAATTTTAGAAACAATTAATTCAATTACTTACATCTTCAAAAGTGCACTCCGCGTTTACCATTGGATTTGACAATGGAAAGACGATAGGGTTTTTATTAAGTTCAGCCATACGTTTTAATATATTTTCATCAAATACACCACCGGTGGAACTTAAGCCTATTAAAGCGGTAGGCTTGACATAATCAATGACTTCCATAAGAGTTTTAAATTGACGACCCTCATTGTCTTTACGGGCGAAATAAACCTTATGCTTGGCCAACTTATCGCCACGATCGCAAGTAACAAGACCCTGACGTAATAATCAAATAAAAATTGTTAATATAATTGATAATATAAATTGATAATATAATTGATAATGCAAGGAAATAATAATAATAATAATAATAATAATAATAATAATAATAATAATAATAATACTAATAATAAAAATAAT